TCCATCCATCCATCCATCCATCCATCCATCCATCCATCCATCCATCCATCCATCCATCCATCCATCCATCCATCCATCCATCCATCCATCTTTGGGGATCCATCCATCACCACTCTGGGGTAAGGAGCCTGAACCAGTGCAGGAGGTGGAGCAGTAATGGCTAGAAAATAGTTAGTCTCAGCTCCATGCTTAGCCTGTGCTCTGTAGCCCAGCTCCTTGAGAAAGGTTGTTGTCTCTTCCACTCCCTTGCCAGCTGGCTCTGTGTAAAAACGTGTATGTCAATCCACCCATTTTAGGATTTACTCTGAGATTAAACTCAGAAGCAGTGGTAGTCAGTCAACTACAGAGCAAGGACTCCCACAGCTTTGAACACACTGAATTTCTTGCAGTTTGAGGAAGAAATGGTGGACATTTGCTTTGAATTGCTTGATGCCAACCGAAAACATCTGAAAGACCCAGCTGGAGACGTTGCAGCTCGCTGCAACCCCATCTACGTTAGCCGTGTAATCAGTGCCATGGTGAGACTGATCATTCACATAGATCTGTATTAAATGTAACACTTTTGTGGGATTAACATTTCGTCATTTTACAGATCAACAGTAATGACGATTTGGGTGTTTTAGCTGGATGCTGGGATGAAAAATATCCGGGTGGTGTTTCTCCCCTGAGATGGACCAGCAGTGTCAACATCTTACAGCAATGGCATCGAAACAACTTAAAGGCAGTAAAGTACGGACAATGCTGGGTGTTTGCCGGTGTGATGTGCACAGGTATCGTCATGGATTCTTTAGTGTACATATTGTAAACCATCAAAGACTCACCGAGATACATGCTTTTCGTCATTGTGATTGCAGTGATGCGGTTCTTTGGTATACCTTGCCGTGTCGTCACAAATTTCGTGTCTGCTCATGATAAAAACAACAGCCTCACGATTGATGAGTATTTTGATGACTACGGACTAAAAGCCAAGCAGGATTCTGACAGTATATGGTAAGAACAAGGCTGGGTTTTCCAAACGTAAAAGTTTTGAGTCTATACTCGGAAAAAAGAAAAGATAAAAAATTCTGCGTCTCCAAAGGTTTAAAAATATGGAGAGGATCAGTTAATGGAAAAAACTAAGGTTTGCTCAGAATTTAAAATGTCTTATTTTCTTTATTCTGTCAGACATCTAGCAATCAGATCAACAACTGAGAAATAATTAACAGTTTAGAAATGTCTAATTGCCGTGTAGGAACTTCCATGTGTGGGTCGAGGGTTGGATGAAGAGGCCTGACCTCAACCAGGCAGGTAGTTTCGATGGTTGGCAGGTCTTGGATCCCACTCCTCAGGAAAAGAGTGGAGGTAAACAGTTGTTGTTCTTCTGTTCTAATGTTGTTTAACTGGAAGTGCCAAAGTTTCACCTCTTCTTTCAGGAGTGTTCTGCTGCGGTCCAGCACCAGTGGCTGCTATCCACCAGGGCAAAATGGACCTGAAGTATGACGTACCCTTTGTCTTCAGTGAGGTCAATGCTGATGTGGTGAAGTGGATGGTCAGCACAACCTTTTTTTCTAATATAGAACAAAAATGTAACTATAAAAAGCAACACATATAAACATCCAATCATGGGAAATGTTTTGTCATGACTGGTTTAAGTTAAATGTCTTCCTTAATGGCAGACATGATTTAATTCAGGAAAAAAATATGACAGGTTTGTTATCAAACAGAGATAACAGGATTTTTGTTTCTTTTAAATTCTTTAGCATCGTCAAAATACACTGAAAGCTATCCAAAAAATATTCAAATGTCCTTGTCGATTCACTATTGGATGGAACCAAATAGTTTAAATGCAATGTCTTTTTAAATCTAGGTTTTGCATCTGGTGTAAAGATGCGAGAGCTGCACCATCACTAACATATCCCATGTTTTGCAGGTCAATAGTGATGGCTCAAAGACAAAGTTGAAATCCCTCACTGACACTGCAGGCGTGGGCCAGAAAATCTCCACTAAAGCTGTTGGCTGCTTCACAAGGAGTGATATAACTAACACCTACAAATACAAAGAAGGTAAAGACACAAATCTGAGATCTTTTACTGAAAGCATTAGGTTAATTTGATTAATTCTTGATTTCCATGCGTGATTAAGATAAAATGACGAGTCATTTTAGTCCTGGTGTGTTCCTTTGAATCAGCAAGATCTTTCAATGGTTACCAATCACCTGTCAGGATTTGTATGGAGGTTGGTTGAGGACACAAATGCAGAGACCAGGAGGCAGGGGCAAATCTTGTAGATTTAATGAAGAAAACAAAGGCAGACAACCAAAAATCCAGAAAGCATCAGGGAAAACTAGAGTGGGAGGCCAGAGACGAGAGCAAAACAAAAAACAACAAGGAACCAGCACTGAATGACTGCAGAGGTGGAGTATAGGATGGGCTAATGAGCTGAATAAGGAGCAGGTGAGAGTGGAACTAACTAGAAGGAAGCCAAGGGGAAAGGAAACAAGTACAAGGGGGCAACAGAGAGTAACTAAAGACTGCCTGAATATCATGGGAAATAAACCAGAGATCAAAACAGAATAACTAAAAACCGAAAACGAAACACTTAGACTCCCAAAAGGGGAAAACCATGACGTCATAATTTAAAAATCTGTTGCCTCACAGAGACCGTTTTTATAAGAGGCTTCCAAAATAACGCAACAAAGCAACTTTTGGTTCTCTTAATTCTGCTGACAGAAACAGCTCCTAAAAGCAGCAACATTTGTCATGCTTATCACACAGGTTACAAATACTGTAGTAGTGACAGATGCAGGAGTTTGCCCTGCAACCCCAGGGTTGTTTGTTCAAGCCCTAACTCCAGCTTTCAATGCCGTTGTGTCCTAACCTGACTCCGCCAGATGGATTTGCT